TTTGACACCCATGATAAAGTCTTAATTGAAGAATTGTCCAAATCAGGTTGGATTACCGATGGGGGCAGGGAGGGGGTTGTCTTGTTAATTGGTGTGGGAACACCCATCCCACTGTGGGTAACACCACTTCTGCATAGAAAGCAGCCAAGCAGGCATGCATGCGTTACCCTGCTCTGCCCTTGACTGTGGGTAGGTGACCAGGCTCCTGATTCACTTCTCTGCTACGATGGACTGTAACCTGAAGGTAAAAGCGTAGCACCCCCCACCCCCTACCAGCCTCGGTTGTTTCCTGTCCGAGTATCTTATCACAGCAATAAGTTAAGCCAGAGCACCTCCCTCTAGGGGTTTGTCAGATACGTGGTCCCAGTGACCCAAAAGTACCAATAGATAAGTAAGGGAAGCTCTCGTCTGTGGACCCCCAATTCCAGAGGATTTGATGCTGTCTCCTGGCCTCTGTAGGTACTCACACTACACACACACACACACACACAAACACACACACACACACACACACACACACACACGCACGCACGCACGCACGCACGCACACGTGCGCACACACACGTGCGCAGAAATAACTTGAACTTTAAAAATTAAAACTAGCCGGGCGTTGGTGGCGCACGCCTTTAATCCCAGCACTCGGGAGGCGGAGGCAGGCGGATCTCTGTGAGTTCGAGGCCAGCCTGGGCTACCAAGTGAGCTCCAGGAAAGGCGCAAAGCTACACAGAGAAACCCTGTCTTGAAAAACCCAAAAAAAAAAAAAAAAAAAAAAATTAAAACTCCCCTTGCATGAACTTTATATGCATGGTCTCTCATGTTTTCTCTTCCATTCACCCAGGTCCCAAGACCCGAATGGCTGCCGTGGATTTGTTGATGCTCCGACACCGCTGTGGTAGATTCTCCTCCTTCACTTCCCCTCCCAGGATTCACATGTTCTATGACAGTATGTGTGTGAATGAACTGAAGCTTGAAAGGCAGTCATCTGCTGCTGAACACGCCCTCCCTCCACCACTCCTCTTGATGAGGACCACCTCTGTAGGACATTAGAAGGGTTTAGCAGTCTTTGCAACTGAGTGACAATGTCTCCTTGCTCTGAAGGCTTAAGGAGTCCTTTCTTCATCCGACAGCCTCCTAACCAGAAACGCTCTGACACACATGTCCGCTATCCTTTTACCGATAAGCTCGTGTTGTCTGAGAAGGTGTAAACTCTTACATTTCAGGCATTTTAAGCTTCACCAGTGCAGAGTTCGCATTTCTTTTGCTGCAATAAAATACTGATGAAAACCAAGCTGGGGAGGAAAGGGTTTTCACTTCATCTTACACGTCCAAGTGATGGTCCACCATTCAGGGAAGCGAAGGCAGAGACCATGGAGAAATGATGCTTTCTGGCTTGCTCTCTGTGCCTTGCTCAGCCTGCTTTCTTATACAACTCAGGACCTCCTGCCCAGGGATGCTCAGAGAAGGCTAGGCCCTCCTATGTCAACCATTAATAAGGAAAATGCCCCCACAAACACCCCCACAGGCCAGCAAATAGAAGCAATTCCTCAGTTGGGGTTCCCTCTTCCCAGATGAGTCTGGATTGTGTCTAGTTGATCAAGCTAAGCAGCACAGACAGCTCCTGTTCTTCTTCCTTTTTAACTTCCACATTAATAGTTTATCCTCTCTGTCTCCCAGATTCTTACTGTACCTTATAAAGATGTTCATCATTTGCCTTAAGACACAGGAGGTGGGTGGCTGGGTTATTAACATGTAAGATTTAGGAGGCTCTAAATGTAGCTGATCCCTGGTGGAAGGAAAATGTTAAAACTTGTCATAATATGGAAGGAAGTGTTCATTTGTAACGGAATTTGATGGAGTTTTAACTTTTGAATACCTTTATTTTGTGGCACTGCTCATTATTGAGAGTCAACCTAAGTGGGGAGAGGGGTGTATAGGGAATGTCAGAATCTAGCCTGAAAAAACTCCCAATGGTCAAAGCTAGACAAAACTAAGAAAGCATGGCATTAGTAGATTGCAACCTGAAGAGCAAGAGAAATACTCATATATTCTTATTGATATCAATAAATAAACACTCTAGGGAATACCTAGTAGTACCTATTGAAGGAATGAGGAGAAAAAATTGGGGATTGGAATACCCAGGACCTATGCTACAGGCCCCAAGAATGGGTCTTAGGTGTAGCTCAGTGTATCTGCCTAGCACACACAAGGCCCTGAGTTCAATCCCCAGGACCCCCGGGAAACAAGAGCCAAAGACGGTGTTCATATTAGCTACGGGAACTTTAAGGAGAAACAGAACACCTGCAGTCTCCAAGTGGCTCTCTTGAAATATTCAATTACCAGGATTTTTTCCCCTCTAGCAGAGATTTTCTCTCTCTCAAGCCATAAAGTGTACACTATACAATCTATCAAAATGTATACATGGCTGATGCAACTAGGAGAACTCATTTGTTTGCACAAGGTAAAGGAGTCCATTACCCCAAAGTTCCCCTTTCCTACATGAGGGGACAGCTGTCGTTGAGGTCCCCAGGGGAAGGACCATCAGGTGAGTCTACGCTAGCCTGAGCGCGCCCCACAGCTGTCTTCTCTGTGACCCAATGTGCGAGCCATTCGGGGAGATCAGTGATTCTCTTGCAGGGAGCTGCGGAGAGGGGAGCCGAATGGTGATCAGCTTAGTGTACACACTGGAAGCACCATCTCCCAGATACCTAGACAGTAACTGGAACTCTGGTGAGAAGAAGATCGTCAAATGCTATCAAGCTTCTAATAAACACCCCCAAATTCCTCCAGGGGGTGGAGCACAACTCCTGTCTTGAACATGGTCTGAACTCATGAGTCACTAGAATAGTGGTTCTCAACCTTTAGGGGTTGAAATGACCCTTTCACAGGGGTCACCTAAGACCATCGGAAAATAGGTATTTACATTATATTTCATAACAGTAACATAATCACAGTCATGAAGTAGCAATGAAATAATTTTATGGTGGGGGTCGGTACAACATGAGGGACTGTGTTAAGGGGTCACAGCCATCAAGCTGGCTTAGAGGGATCGGAAAAGGTAAATTAAGAACTATGGTGCAGAAAGCTGAGACCCTCAACCAATCGGTCAAGGTCAGTGTCACCAGTAATGAGTTGGGATCCTGAGATCTCACAGTGTGATGTGATGAGGGGCCATTCTGTCTCAGTGGAGTCTCGCTCAAGATCTATGATCCCAGTCCAACAGATGATCCCACAGATAGATCCCACAGATAGATTCACATTAGGGGCATGCTCCAAAATTCCTCTACAGTAGGCTTCAACAGGCTGGCGGCCATGGAAAACGAGGAAAAGCTGAGGAAAATGTCACCAGGAAGAAGAGGGAACAAGAAAGATCTATATAGCCAGGCAGTGGTGGTGGCACACATTTAATCCCAGCACTCGGGAGGCAGAGCCAGGCAGATGTCTGTGAGTTTGAGGCCAGCCTGGTCTAAAGAGCGAGATCCAGGACAGGTGCAAAGCTACACAGAGAAACCCTGTCTCAAAAAACAAAACAAAACAAAACAAAAGATAGATCAATATGATTGGGACATAGTATAATCTGGGGTTGGAACATAACAAAAGAGGCCTAGGAAAACTAATGGAGTTCATTTGGAACTGAACTGTATCCCTAGTCCATCCTTACATTCTTCTATCAATCTAAAGCTATTTGTTAATTAAATTTTCCAAAGTTATTATTTAATGACTTTGAGACAGGGTCTCATGTAGTTAGTTCATTCTGGTCTCAAACTCACTGTGTAGCCAGCCAGCCTTGAACCCCTGATGCTCCTGCCTAAGGCTCCTCGGAGCTATTATTGTTAATTACATAAACATTGATGTCCCCCCTACCCAATGCCATGGGTATTAAGCTTGTGGACATTGAGGAAAATATTTGTCTCATAAGTTCTTAGGAATTTTTACTTTTTTGTTTTGCAATTTGATGGCTCTACAATTATCTTTATCAACCAACTAGAGAAGACAGAGCTTTCCACTTAGGTTAAACCTCCCACTTCTCATAATAATCTATTTAACCAGTGTTATCTGTACACATTGATGTACTGTATTTACATATGATAATATTACATGTGACTTCTCTTGAAAATAACTAAGAAATCCAGGTAAAGGGGGATAAAAATATTTAATTGTTGAAGTACACTGGTAAACCAAGTCACTTACAGCAGTCATAAGTAGGTATACACGTTGTCAGCAAATCAGGAACTTTACAGAAATCCCACTAAACATCAACCGTAACACCTTCGAGATGGTAGGGAATTAACATGGTGAGATGCTCTGATTACACATGGGGAGAATGGACAACTGGGCAGATGGAGATCACTTATAGTCATATAAGCTTCAGACTAAAGAAAGCGGGAATTTAATTCACACGTGTGGATGGCATGCAATCTTAACTAGTTCATTTCCAAATACTGAGATGCTCTCAACAGAGGGAATTCTCTTACATTTAAATAAAAATTTTAAACCAGCTAGTAAGACAGGGTGATGGTTCTGAGACTCTTTTTTTTTTTTTTTTTTTACCAATTTCACAGCTAAAAACAACAAAGTAGAAACATCCAAGGACGAGGCAATATATCACTTCAGATAATCCCTTTATACGGCCCTAAGATCATGTTATAAATACAATAAGGATTGCGTTATATAAAAACTATCAAAAGAGTATCAGTGAAAAGACATGATTTCTGTGGACTGTGTTGAATGGCCAGGATGGGAAATGCTATGATGCCTGGTGGCCCAGGCCGGTAGCCACAGCCTTTACGGCCCTCAGTGGTGGACGACACGAAGTCCCCCCATTGAGCATGAAGTCTTGACAATTTCCTTCCACGGCCACAATGTCCAGTATGTACCCGAGGCTTTAACTACACGCTTAGGATTTGGGGGAGCTGGCACAGCAGGGGACACCTTTCAGAATTTGTCTGAAGACACAATGTCCCTGGAGCCAAATTCCTTCCAAATTCATGAGCAGGCTGTGAAGAGAAAAAAGAAAAGAGGGGGGAAGAATCAGCACACTCAAATATCACAACTTAGATAAAAGCACGTGTCTTAAGCCTGCAAATTATCTACTGGATTTGCTTTTAAGCAGATTGCATGTTCAATAGCCAATCAACAGCTACTTAAGGTTTATTACTGGGCAGCATGGTTCTGAATGGTGGTAATATTTATATAAAGAGATAAAATTGGATGCTGGGAAACTTATAAAAATACAATTAAAAATTAAACTACAGAATAACAATGGTCAAATCAGGCTGTGTGCATATCAGCACCACATTCATAATACAGATCACCAGTCATAATGCTATCCCTTTCCAGCATTAAACTAGAGAGAGGCTCCAACCACAGAGCCTGTGGAGCTCTCCAAGGGATACTGATGGAGCTGGTCCACACTGGCATCTAAGAGCCATCACATAAGCTCCTTTTGAACTAGCTTAGTTGAAAGTGGGCCTATGCGACCACTTCCCTCCTGGGTAGAAGGTGCCTCTGAAAAAGCCACAGCTACGTGCGTGTGGCTTCCACTCTAGAGTCAGGTGTATGAGAAATTACATATCCATATTCCCCAGATGCTGAAGTCATTCCTTGATTTGGTCCAAAAAATAGCCACATGAGCTCACGGCATGAATTCCATTCAGAAAATGGAATGGTGGTGTTAGCTAAAAACAGTGTAGCTTTTTCTTTGTTTCAAAAGCCCCCAGAGGACAGTCTTCCCATCAAGATTCTGCCCAATGACTATCCTGCAAAGTCACAGGTGTAGGTGTGTCACAGACAAGCGGAACGATGGACACATAGCCACTCAGGAACAGGGATGGTCAAGACTTTTCAGGTAATTCAAAGGCCAGGCAAAATGGAAGCCAGAATCAAACTGACTACTTAGAGATGAGATCAGAGAACAGAGACAACAGAGGGGGTCAAAGAACACACGGGATCCATGAGCAGCGAAGCGGTATTTCATCCACTATGTACAACCATGTGGGCTGTGAGCAGCAACTGCTAAACTATTACTGCGGGAACTTCTGACCCTCACACAAAGGCAATCAGCTATCAAGTCTCATCCCCAGTGAGAAAGCTGAGAGGCCCAGCAGAACTCACCTGGGGTCTGTGTGCAGCAGAGGTGACCAGGTGCAGCAAGCCACAAGAATATAGTATAGAGATTCAGCTGCATATAATAAGCTATACCTTGATAAACCAAGGAGTCCTTGAAGAGGGGAGCCATTTATCAAGGAATAGTTGGTGTTATTCAGCTTTTAATATATATCAGCTGTCTTCTGCTATGAAACTCTTGTGTGCTCATACACTACTAGGCCATATGGCAAACAGAACAAGCTTCTCAGACCTGCTGCTGATTCACTAGGTAACATCCCTGCAGGGCCTAGAAGACAGGTGGGCTGTAGATGCATAGCTTTGTTTCTTGTGCAAATGAAGCTCAGACCATCCCTTGCCTTCAGGTCTAGTAGCATCCAAGAGCTATTGATTCAGGACAATAGGGCTTTTTGCATAACCAGGTGCAGTAAAGATTGGAGCAGAATTCCTGGTGAGGCAGAGCCACTGGAGAGAAGAAAAGGCAGTTTCTCAGAGCCAGGGGTAAGGAACAAGGAAGGAAAGATGGAGGATGAAGGAACAGAGGACGGAGATGAGGTCGAAAGCACAGGAGATTAGTTAGGTCTATGACAGGCAGGCCCAGTAGGCACAGAGAGGAGCTGAGTGTGAGGACGGAGCTGAAGCTGTGTAGATAGGATTTTGTCATAGAAAAATAAACAGATGAAAGAGCTTTGGTGTACATAGATTCTTTTCCCTCAGATAACCACACGCCAGACGTAGTGTTCTTCCCCAGGACTCTGGGAAGGATTTTCTCAGGGCAGGCCCCTGGGAAAATTCCAATAACTAGGTTCCTGGGATTGGACTACGGGACACCTCTTCTGCTCAGTTCCTACGCGTCTGAAACCCTTCACAAGAGAAATGACAGGCTGGTGTTCCCCTGGCTCAGCTTACACAGGAGGCAGATCACACACATCACACACTTGGGGCGAAATGGCAGCAAACCCAGAGCTCTATGTGGGAAAGGGATTCGCTCTATTTGCATACTAGACTTAAAAAAAAAACCTTGGTGGATTTTGGCGAGTTGGCAGTGGGAACTCCAGGCTGACCTCTGTGATGCCTCTCTGCTGAGCCACGCTCCACAGAACGATTCCAAGGCTGCTGTGGCTTCCGTTAAGAAGCAGGCTGTGTGCCCCAGCCCTCCTGCAGGGAAACATCTCAACTTCTGCCTGTGAGCCTGCCAGCCCACCCCTTCCCAAATACCCACTCCAGAACTGACCCTGGAAAAGAGGTTGCTTCAGCATCAAAGACCTCTTGTTTCTGGTCTGCTGGAGTCTGGGTTCTAGAAGGAGAGGTAGATGAAGAGGGGGAGGGGAAGAGGAGGAGGCAGGGGAAGAGGGAGAGAAAGGATGAGGAAGAGAAAGCAGGAGTGAGAGGATGGAAGCAAAAGCTGCCGCTTATTTCATTTACTCCTAACAACAACCCTGAAGTCTAGGCAAAAGATCCATTCTATTGATTGTAAGACTGAGGCCACGGAGGAAAGGTAACCTGTTCAGCCAGCCCGTAGAAGAGGCTGATTCCAACAGAGAATGGGCTCTCTCAGGGAAACAACACTGGACGTGGAGGATGCAAAAGAGGCTGCATGTGTTTGGCAGGAGCGGCACCGAGTGGAGAGCCAAACACACGATGTGCCATGGGACCAAGTGAGTAGACATTCTCCCTCCCCACATACCTGCTCCCGTGTCGACCAGGACAACTGCCCATCCCAACCGGTGATGGACGCATCTCTAACTCTGCTGCTATACACGGTGTGTGAATCCTGATTCCTAGACAGAGATCTCCCAGCTGTCACTCAAGTCCTAAGCCCTCCCATGTTCTGGGGAGCCCTGCTGTTTTGGGCAGGCACGCAGCTTGCTCTTACTAAACAAATTACCCTGTGTTTGTGGAAGGGTGAAGTGAAACTGTGGTAGATAAGAAGAAAATGGAGCTAACGTCCATCTCTTTAGGATGAATCACAGTCATGGGAGGAGACACTCGCCCTGGCATGCAACATCTGTGAGCTGTACATAGAAACATAAGCAGCTCCTTCATCATCATCATCAAGACGAAGCACATGGACAATTCAGGAAATGCACAGTACCTCTTGAGTATCCAGTCATCCTGTTTTCTTCCTCTAATCTTCGAGAGGAAATTAAGAACAGTTAGTGTTTAGATCGTTTCAAAAGCTCATTATAGTTTCCCACAAAGCTATAAACAATAGCCACACACACACACACACATATCCATCCATACACACACATACACACACATACATAAGCACATACCCATACACACACACATAAACACATACCTATACCTACACACACACACATAAACACATATAAACATACACCCATACATACACATACACACACACACACACACACACACACACACACACACACACACACACACTTCTTTTTGAGGACATAAGCCCCATGTGACCCTTGCTTACTTTTCCGTACTGTCTTGGCTTGACTAGACACCATGCTGGCTGCTTCGGAGGGCAGGCCAACGTACACGCCACCGTAGTTTCTTTAAGAAAAGAAGTGAGATCAATTTAAAGCCTGCTAGAGAGAGAAGCATCAGACAGTAAAGCGTGGACCACTCCAAACAATTACACGATCACAAAGGTAACTCAGGACCTTTCAAAGATTCTTGGTTTTCTGTGTTAAAAGGAAGCTTTGGGAACAATGGCTCTATTAAGTCAGTGACATTTTTAAATATTTTACTTGTAATGAGAAAGAAAAGAAGTGAGCTACAGTGATGTGTCAAGTAAGGTGACAGGTGTCAGTCACCGTTTATACAAATTCTGAGATCCCTGTGGCATTAGGCAATGTGGACATTCAAAGGTCACTTCCTCACAGGGAAAGACGTGCAATATGACACAGAGAGCCCAGGAATGCAGAGCAGGGCAGAGGGAAAGTGTGAGAGGAACATGAAGCAGAGGTGAGGAGGGAGTCATTGACTCAAGGCAGGCGGACGGCACAGAGCCACACGCACACGACAGCACAAGCTCGCTGGGTCGCAGCCGAGATTCTGACCGCACATCCCCACTAGCATCCCACCTGATGGAATCTGTCATCGTCCTGTGCTGGTGTGGGTTACATCCATGTACTATGACCAAAATCACTCACGTGAAACTGGCTTCAACAGCACACGTACCTCCTCTTGTCGTCGTCTGTTATGGAGTCTTCCGTCCTGAAAGTCCAGAAACACCTGCCATGAGCCTGTCCGTTTACACCAGACACCTCCTCTTCGGTTACAGGCAAAGTTGCAGTAACAGCGCCCTTAATGCACATTTATTACCACCCTGTGCATCTCCAGCACTGGACTCTGCCTGACCATATACTAAAGACTGCACAATATTCTTTCTTTCTTTCTTTCTTTCTTTCTTTCTTTCTTTCTTTCTTTCTTTCTTTCTTTCTTTCTTTCTTTCTTTCTTTCTTTCTTTCTTTCTTTTTCTT